TTTGGAAATCTCATCTCTGTTATCCAAAGAGGCCATAATCCGAATTTCATCTGACAGTACCGATGAGTTTTTCTCACACTATTTTGCAGTCCCTAAGAATGATGGGGGGATAAGGCCCATCATGGACTTAAGAGACCTCAACCGGTACATACTTCACAAGAAATTCCGTATGCTCACCCTTGACTCCATTCTTCCCTTCTTGTCTCAGGGAAACTGGTTCGTCACCATCGATCTGCAGGACGCATATTTCCATATCTCCATCCACCCGTCTCATCAAAAATTCCTCCGGTTCCGGTTCCATCACGATACCTTCCAATTCACTGCCCTACCGTTCGGGCTCTCAACGGCCCCCAGGACATTCACAAAATGCATGGCACCAGTCGTCACGTACTACAGACCCAAAAGATAAAAATCTTTCTTTACATCGACGACTGGCTTCTGGTGGCCCGATCCTACCACTACCCTCACCTGTCCATACAGGTCGTCACCGACACCAGCCCCTCAAGTTGGGGAGCGCACTGCCAGAACCTCCGTGCTCACGGTCTTTGGACCCTAACCCAAAAGACCTTGCACATCAATCAGCTAGAACTGCTAGCCGTCATGAAGGCTTTTCAATCCTTCCTCCCTTGCATCCAAGGCCATGCCGTGCAACTGGTAACGGACAATACCACAGTGATGCACTCCATCAACAGACAAGGTGGAACTCGATCAGCACGTCTCCTCCAGCTAACCATCAAATTTTGGAAATGGTGCCATTCCCATGACATCTTCCTGCAGGCGATCCAAATCGCTTCCAGGGACAATTCCCTAACAGACCACCTGAGCAGGCTCCCTACCAGAATGCACGAATGGACATTAGACCAGACGGTCTTTCTCGACATTTGCAAACGATGGGGACAGCCCACCCTGGACCTTTTTGCGTCCCATCTCATCACCAAGTGTGCCTGATACTGTTCCAGGGCGGGCATGGACGCCGCCTCCCTGGGAGACACCTTCCTCATACCATGGTCAGGGGAACTAACGTACCTGTTCCCTCCAATACCGCTACTTCTCAGGACCGTGACCAGGATAATGCAGTACGGTACAGACACAATCCTCATCGCTCCTTGGTGGCCGAGGCAACCGTGGTTCGCTCACCTATCAGAAATAGCACAAGAAGTTTACCACCTACCTCAGATACTGTCCCTCCTGTCACAGAACAACGGAGCTCTCCATCCCGGTGTTCGGTCTCTTCACCTGACGGCGTGGAGGATAACCCCCGCTAGACCATGCATGAAAGCCCTCTACCTCACGCTTATATGAAGGCAAATTGAAAGCATTTACCAAGTTTGCCCAATCTGAAGGCATGACCACGGTACCAGCTTCTCTATGCACGGTACTTACCTTTTTGCTGCATCTCTTCAATATGGGACTTGCTCACTCCACGCTTACACTTCAGCGATTGTAGCACACCAACCTCCTCATTCATACTCTGCGAGTCTTTTTTCCGACCCTACACTTAAAAGATTCTTGAAAGGTCTCCAAAACATACGACCACCCTCCCAAATTATTGCACCGCAATGGTCCCTTCCACTCGGAGGCCATTGCTAAACCTCCATTTGAACCAATGGCTA